TGTTGAGAAAAAAAAAACAAAACACAGTAATCCCGTGAGAATCTTGTTCCACCAGGGGGCGCTCCCTCCCAGCAGCGTTGCCCAGTCTCGTCTCTTCTAGGACACACCATCCATGTAATACCAGCGTTCCAAGGGAAAAAAATTAATTGAATGTACCCATCAATTGTGAGACATATCCTTATTTCTTAAACCTTTAAAAAAAATTAATACAACTTTAAAATTACGTCTGAGAATTGAGGAAAGCTGAGTGTTAAAAAGCTCTTGAAATAAAAAGGATTTTTTTAAAAAGTTTTAAAGGAAAAGAAGCCCAGAGCAGCCCAGAGGTACTCTCTGCACACCTCAGAGGCTCCCACAGCCAGCTCTTGGCCATCAGCGTCGCCCCCTCTGCTCCTGGCTACCCACGACGCCCCGCCCCCCACCACCAACTCCAACCCCTGGGTCTCTCTCCCAGGGCCAGTCCTGCCCCCATTAGACAGCCAGGAAGGGAGCTTTTCAAGATACCAAATGAGACTGTGTTGCACCTTTTATTAAAATGCCCTCAGGATTTCCAAGAGAAAAAAAGCCAAATATGACGGTCCCCTCTGGGCCTCCCCAACAGCCTCTCTATCCCTCTGTCACTCCACTGAGCCACACTGGTCTCTTCATTGAAAATGCCAATTGATTCTTACCTCGGGGCTTCTTCCCTGGATGTTCCCCCTGCTAGAAGACCGCGCCCCTCAAAAAGACCTGGCACTGATCTGGAAACAGCTGTCACAAAGCCCGGGTACCACTGCTCACCTCAGAAGCACCTGTGACTACAGCTAGGCGTCTCTCCTCCCTGAGCCCCAGGCTGCTGCCTCAGGCAATGGACTCATGAGGGATGTGTGCATGTTCTGGGGGGCAGGTGACCTACTGTTCTGGGTCTGCCTCTTGCTCCCAGAGCCCAGACACTGGTGGTGCTGTTCCCTCGGGGAGCTCAGCGACACAAAACACGCAACAGCCACCACATCCTTTTGGGCCCCTTGGCTTCCTGAAAAGGCCCCACCTGCCAGTCAGTCCCTCAGAGCAAGGCAACCCCCAGCCCACCTCCCAGGACCCCCTTATTGCCTTTAACCTTTGCTCCTGCAGTGCTCCTTGACTAACACCATTCCTTATTCTTTGTCAATCCAACACCCACCCTCCCTTCCAGAACCTAGTCAAAACCCACCCAGCATGGAATCCAGAACAAAGCCCAGATACCCAGAGCCAGTCAGGTCCACTGCCCCTTCCCAGCATCTCCACCAAAGGTGGAGCATCTCACAGACAAGGTCTGTAGTCCCTTTGGGGAAGGACACTTCAAACTCCAGCCAGGTCCAGCAAATAGAAAATACGTAGACCCAGAGGAGGAAAAAGCAAGGTGAGAATGACCTCAGGAGATCTCCCAGAGGAGGTAAACTTTGAGCCAATAATCATGAGTATTTATTGGACAAATAGTTATCCAGCATGTGTGATGTGCAAAGCACCGTGCCAGGCAGGGGAACTATGAACAAGACAGACCTTGCCCTGCCCTGGGGGCGGGGGCATAGTGATAAATAGACATGTGATGAGAATAAAGCAGGACAGCATTTTATTTTATTTTATTTTATTTTATTTTATTTTATTTTATTTTATTTAACTGAGCCATCCTGCCACCTGTTGGCAGCTCAGCAGCAGCTCAGCTCGGACAGGGAATCAAACCACTAGTTGCTCAGAGCTTGCATTCTTGAAAGTGCTCTTAACCAACTGAACCACTCGGCCAGCCCAGGACAGGGTAGAGAGGGCAGGGGTGTCGGGCATTGAGGGGATGTTGGAGCAGGGCATGAGGGGGGGTTTTTGATGTGGAGGAAGCCCTTCTCAGGCAGAGCGGACAGCAAACACAAAGGTCCTGATTGTCTCTGGGCTTAAAGGCTTCCTCCTCCAGAAAGCCATCTCAGGTTGCAACTTCTGGGTCCCACTGCACCTGCACTCTGTCCCATGAGCTCCACCTGCCTCCCCTGGATGCCCGATGCTTATGCTAAGATAATCTGGTGGATAAGCTGATGAGAAGATGCATCCACACAACAGAGTGACCTGTGTCGCCAACGGGAAAGGGCTGCGCACTCCTCACTCTGGTGTCCCCAGTACCCAGGACAGTGTCTGGCAGGTGCTCAGTAAGTGGTGCCAAACATATGGAAGGACCAGAAAACATGGCCAAAAACAGCTTCTCTCCGAGGACAAGGCTGCCCCGACATTCCTCTTGGTAGCCTCGTGGCCCATCTCCTGGTGGAGGTACACCCACTCTCGATCTGCCAGTGGGGTCATGAATCCTCAGCCCAGCCAGGCCCAGGAAAACTGCTACCCTGGAGATAAATGGTTGCTCCCTTGTCCGACTGTGAGCAGTACATTGGTAGGGGGCAAACAGGAAGCTTGTGTCTTCCTGCTCCTCTCAAGAGCGGCATGGCAGTGGCCTAGGTCCTGGAGGAGGTGACGGGGGAGGAGCTAAAGGCAGCTTTCTTGGGGGGGTCTACAAGGAGTTGTGATGGGCCATTTGCTCATCACATGAGGAATGCTGCCTGCCAAGCTTGAATGTCAAGGTTATGGGTTGTGTGGCTGTGAGAGTAAGAGAGGGGGAATGGGTGTGTGTGTATGAGTGATGTGAGCATATGAGTGCGTGTGTATATGGGTATGTGTACAAGTGTACATAAACACAGCAAAAAAAATCTAGAAGAAAATGCACCAACATGACTCTGGGAGAGAGAATCCAAATGGTTTCTATTGGCTTTTATGTTTTTTCTTCATTTTCCTAATTTGCTATACTGAGCCTTTGCTACTTTTAGAATCAGAGAAGAGCTAAACTAAGTCATTTTTTTAAGACCATGGGTGCAAAAGGCAGAGAACAGACAGAGAGGAAGAGAGGTGTATAGCTCTATGGGCACCTGGGCCTGGGGAGAAGGGAGAGAAGGTGCTGTCGGGTGGCCAGAGAGAGGGCCTCCAACCCTGCTTCCTCACACCCACCTCCTGTGTGACATTGGCTTCCATTTCCCCATCAGGGTTCTCAGTGCCTTCTGACCCTGATGATCCTGAGCTATCTGCTCAGTATCCTAGGTGGGCCCTGGGCCAGGGCAGGGGGATGCTGGGCGTAGACAGCAGGAGAGGCAGAGATCGCTCACGTCTTGGCTAAGCTTAGCCCCATCTTTTGTCCTGGGCCTGAGATTCTGCATCTTGGGCACCTGCTGCTGCCTGGAGGGGAGGCCTGTGAATTCAGTGGCCAGAGACAAATCTCAATGGTTGGCTGCAGCTGGGGTCAGAGGGCGGATTCAGACTCTACAATTATTTTAAGTGCTTACAATGTGCCAAAATTGAAACATGTGGGAAAATACCGTAACGGGTTGTTGTAACGGGACTAGATCCATTGAGTCTCAGAGTCAGGCAGAAGCTCCCCCAGATGTTGGCATATCCTGGCCATGTCAAGATTTCGGGACCTAAAGGAAACCCTGAACCTCTCCCTCCAGGTCAGGGTCATAGAGAGGCCTTTAAGGAACTCTTCCAAGGCCTGGTGATTGCCATGTCTCTTCTTCTTCTCCCTCCCTTCCTTCCACCTCTGGGTTTCAGAGGGATCGTGGCCCTGTCGACACCTGACCTTCTGGCCTCCAGAACTGGGAGAAAACACATCTCTGTTATTTTAAGCCACTGGTTTATGGTACTTTGTTATGGGAGCCCTAGGAAATGGACAAGGGGATGGCATTGGGGTATAACATGCAAACGTATTTTGGCCTCAATAGCCCTGGCTCCTGGGTGCCCCCTGGCTCCCTACTCCAAGAACCAAGCTTTGGAGAGTTCAGTTTCTCCACAGCAGAGAGAACATGGTGGTGCCACGGATGAGGCGCAATGACACAGGGGATCCCTTGCTGGAGAATAGAGGGAAGTGTGTGCTTTCACACTGGGAAGTGTGAAGGGAGAAGCTAGTAGAGACGGAGATGAGAAGCCACATATTCACCCCTCAGGGCTGAGTCTTGGGCTGGGTGGAGGGGCAATGGTAACACAAAAGTTAGGGAAACCCCCAAAGACACCAGCCCTGCAGCCCACCTCCCGCGGCTCCGGCATGCCCCTGCCTAGCTCAGCACTGTGGGCACCATGGCACAGCCGCAGTGGCCACTCTGGTTCTCCACGGGCCGCAGGTCATTTGTCCAGGTACCCACATGCCCCAGAATGGGATGTGGAGCTGCCAAGAAAGCTAGTGGCTCAGCAGAGGCCTGGACAGGTACCTCTGGCCAGAGGGGGACAATGAGCCCAGAGATGATGAAGGACTCCAAAGCCAGACAGCGGCAGAGCCGGGCTGGGTTGCCATCCACCACACTTCCAAGGCTCCCTTGCATGAGGGCCAGAACAGGTTGTAAACACAGGTTTCCCTACAGTGGAGTGACTGCTAGTGAAGGAGGACAGACACACAGCAGGGGCAGGAGACAAACAACCCCTGCTACCTCCAGATGGCCACTGATCTCATTCTTGCTGGGAGGCTGAATCAAGTTTCACAGCTCTCCCCAGAGGCAGGACCCAACCGCCACATCACCATAGGACCTGCAAAGCCTCTTCTGGGCTCCAGCCGTCTCGGGCCAGCAGCTGCACGGGGTGTTCTGTGGGAGGGACTCTCCTCCCTGCACCCCCCTGGGGCCTTGCCAGGGAAACATGACCTGACCAGAGACACAGCCTGGTGCCGAAGAGGGCAAGGAACACAGCCCAAACTTATGGACTGTGGACGCCAACATCTGTGAACATTTATTTTCTTCTCCAGGACTCCGGTGAAGAAGGTCAACTTTATCAGAAAGGCAGGGCACAGACAGCCGGGGGAAGGTCCAAATCCTGTGGGCCTGGTAGGGGTTAGCCAGGCACACACAGGGCCCCATGGGCCTGGTCGCCCTGCTGGAGGACTGGAGAGAAGGCTGGGACAGACACCTCAGCACCTGATGTGGGAGCCTTTCTTCACGGAGCTCAGAAGGGTGTCCTTCAGAGGCTAGAGGCCTGCTTCAGGGAGGAGGCGAAGGCATGGGTGTCACCGACCTATGCAGGATGTACCTGGACGCCCGAGACAGGACCAAGGGGGTAGATTGGGCCATGGAGGCTGACCGGGGCCGTGAGGACAAAGAGAACTGGAGCCTCGGAAAGGAGGACACGCTGGTCAGGAGCCTGGAGCC